CTACGCGCATATCAAGGGCACATGGGCTTAACCTCATGTGGCAAAGACTGGGTTGCCCCACGTGCAACTCTTCAACTGCCAGTCGGCGATCTGCATTCACCTTGCGAAGATGTCACGTTTTGAAAAGCGTGCTAATGTGAAAATTTTGCTATACTGTGTAAAACGGCTGCAGAGACTTTTGGAATGCTGAGACAGGCGTATGGGGACAAGACAATCGCGCGCCCTCGAGTGTTTGAGGGGCATCGACGATTCTGAGAAGGCCGTGAGTCCCTGGAAGGTAATGGAGGTGTTCTTCGACCACGAGGGTATTGTCCATCGTAAGTTCATTCCGGAGGGAAGAACGGTAAATAAAGAGATGTACGTAGATGTGCTGTGGCGTCTCCGAGAAGCAATCCGGAGGAAACGACCACAGATGTGGGCAAACAAGAATTGGATCCACCTTCACGACAACGCACTAGCGCACAGATCGCTGATTACTTATTAGCCGTTACTTGACAGACACTGGCACAGTCTTACTACCACATACTCCCTACCCCCCCCCCCGGCACTTTCACCATTCGACTTTCACCTTTTTCCAAGAATGAAGAAGCGCCTGAAGAGACGTCGATTTTCCTCCGCAGTAGAGGTGAAGCAAGCTACGGTGACGGCGCTGAACGGGGTCGCTAAAAATGGGTTCCAGTCCTGTTTCGAGGAGCTTTACAGACGTCGGCAAAAGGGTACAGAAAGCCAGGGCCACTACTTTGAAGGTGACACAGCAACAGTGCCGTAACACTCACCGTTTGCGTGCAATAAACCCAGTCTCGAAACTTTTTGAACCTACCTTGTATATATAATACGAACGAGTTTGTTTGCTCTTCGGGCAAACAAACTCGCTATGGACGCGCCTTCGGCGCCCTATGACCAAAGAAGTATGATAATCCATTCATAGCATTTGTTTTTGAAGCACACCCCTAATGATGCTGTCAAGCCCCTTGGATAATGGATTTGGCAATTCTCGCGCCTTTGGGGGTCGCATATAAAAAAAAATTGTTTTAGAAAACATTCATCATCTGATTTCCAGCCTAAGGATATTGAGGTAAAAATTCAGTGCATCGTTTGGTGTTCCAATCTTGAATTAAATCCCCGCCTGTGGTCGTCACACTCTTATTTGCGCAAAAATCCCAAAAACATAGTAGCAGACACAGTAGCGTAGTAAACTATACAGTAGTAAACTCAAAGCCAAAAGCGTTTCAATCCTCCTTCCCACAACAGGTCCTTGCGTCAGGTAATGATTTCGACTTCTTTGCTAGTCCTCATTGCAGTTAATGTTTTTATTTTCAACTGTTGAGCCTCCATTATTATGTTTCAAGGTACTCAGCATGTTCCAGCATATTTCACACGTACCTGAAAAACCTTGAGTTGTATTTTTAGAAGTGGCCATATTCCCCCAACAACATGGGTAATATGGCCTCTTGGGAACGACTTGGCGACTTAGATTTACTAAAGGTGATATTAATCAGTATTTTAGAAACATTGTAAAAGTCCAATTCGACCTTGATGGGCCGTTATGACCAGGTTTCATTTTGTAGGGCCATATTCCCCCAAATTACCCTACTGATTCCAGGAGCACCGCCAAATCGTGTAAGGCAAAAAAAGTTATTAAGAACTATGATGCAATTGTTATAAAATTCACCTTGTTCTAGGGGCTCTCATTTATTCTAGAATATTTCCCGGGGGGCCTTTAGGCCGCCAGTTCGACCCTGGCTGAGTGGCATATCACTTGAAAGATCTTTGATGCTGAACGTTAAAGTCTTCAGGGGCCTTTTTATTACGAAAATGAGTATTACGATACAAGGGGGGGGGGAACTAGAAAAACGGGAATTTTTTTCAGTTTGTTTTGGATTTTTAGCAAAAAATATGTAATTTTGTGTTTCCCGCCTCCCATCTAATGGAGGTAAACCCGAAAGGGGTATAAGAGTAAGGACAAAACTATTTTAAAAGTTAAAAAATTCCAAGGAACTGGCTATACGCATAGGCGCCGACTTAAAAAAAAATATTGGAGGGGCAAGTTCCTATTGCTCCTGAAATAACAATGACGCAATTATTCCAGGATCCATTGGGGTAGCTCAGTATTATTATGGAAGCATAGTGACGAGCTGGGGGGGAGGGGTGCTGGGCATGGCCCTTCCACCCCATACCCTTACGGGGTGACACAGGGATCTCCCCAAGTTGGAGCTCAAAACAGAGAGGAAAACCATGTTTTTAATTTCTTTCGTAAAGCAGCATTTTGTTTTCAATTTTTCATGTGCTATACTTTTGTTGAAATTTTGCCATTCTTGGGGGGGCGTTGCCCCCTCAATAATATAGTGGGGGGGGGGCACGTTCCCCTTTGCCCCCCTGGGTTCGACGCCTACGGCTATACGGGGATTTAATCTGGAATGTCTACCTATGGCACTGCCCCAGTAGCCCAAACTCGTGCCGCAGAGGCCTGGAAGTCTACCTCTAGCGGTGGCATTCCCGTTCCAGCTGGGTCCACGATTTCCCCTTTTCGTACTTAGTTTGATAAGGAACACGAGTTCTTTGCCTGTTGCCACTCTGTCGCCGCGTAGAGGCTACCTTCGTGGTGATCTCATTCTACCTTTCAAACGATAAACTCGTCTCAGAAAAGATCCTCCACGTTTGGTTGCTTGCAATTTTCGATATGATTGTGCCATACGTACATTTGGTATGCACTTGAAGCCTAAAGTTGTCACTTTATTTACAAGTGATTACTTCCAAGATCATGCCGTACTCAGTTGAAGAGAATGTCAAAAAAGCCGCATGAGTGATTACGTATAATAACAAGGAAAAGGCACGGCTGTTTCAGAGGACATTAAGCAAAAACCCACCAAACCATAAACTCATAACCAGTTTACGACACTTGGCGTCGTGAACTGCTGTATATGGTAGTGTTTCGGACATAAAGCCACCTGGACGATCCCTTACTACATGGTGTTAAAAAAAAGACTGTGCCAACTCGTTTTTTTTTCATAGGAATTATGGTAGATTTTTTCCGATCGACCCCAATGTTTCACAAACTGCATTTGGATAGATGAAAGGTCAAATTTGAAGGATATTGATCCAATGTGTCGCGTGCTGCACCCTTTAAAACTTGAAGGTTCAGAAAATGCACCGGACATCTTAGTTGCATCGGCCAATGACATGCAGGAAGCCAAAGTATGTACGTGCCTTACAGAATGGCCAAGGAGGCTAGCTCCACTGACAGGCGAAAGCATGAGCATTGTACGGCACATTCTTTTACCTATCAAGTTTGAACTGGCGTATAACGTGATACAATGCGTCAATATTCTTCAAATTAGGCACAAACATTCTTTCCTATGTCTGCATGCTGCGTAAAAAAAAAATTTCACCGATCTGATAATATTTACTGTCGTTAATAGCGAAAATGGTTTGGCACGGTTTTTATTTTATTTAAACACTGTGTAGTACTGCTCTGGCTGAAGCGCGTCTTAGTAGCACTAAGAAAGTCCCCGGAAATCAATACGCCAGACATAACGGTGAGTTGAACATTCATCGTTTACCTGGGCATCGCCTTGGTTATCTCACTGATGAGAGCCACATTACAAGCAACATTTAAGCCAGCAGAATGAAGCCCTACCACGTTATATCCTGGCCACCATGGGCGTCCGCTGGTTTATTCCCAGGGGGGGAGGGGGGGGGGGCAAGGCGAAAGAATGGCAGAATAGATGCACACACAAGGGTAATTTATCTTTTGTAAAATGATGATAAAGTACAAGGAATTATACCAGGGTANACTGCAATCAAAGGAAAAATGTTTCGCCTTAACACATTGGTGACGGGCCCCGAGAAATCTCGTAGTACGCTCGCGAGCGGTCGGTGACCGGCCCCGGGGCCGTAGCGTACTACGAGATTTCTCGGGGCCCGTCACCAATGTGTTAAAAACAACGACAGAAATTGTGGGCCTCAAAGTAGCCCTTACCTGTAGACCTATTATGCGACTCTTATGTCAGACAATGAGACAGCCCAGCAAACAATTTGAAACACATAACGCCGAATCAACGTTTGTAACATTGGTACAACATAGCCTTGTTTGCTGGGAGGGTCTTCTACTCGAAGAGAAACAACAGGCACCTTGGTTATAAAAAAAATAACAATGTAATTGCAAAAATTACGTGAAATAGCCATTCAGCCTGGGATACTTGCATTCCATGTTGTACGATCTTCAGCTTTGGCGCGATGTTATGTAGAGCAGTAGTGTTACCGGAACCTCTGGACCAGATGGGTTGAGTTGAATTTTTAACTCGTTTGGATCTTTCATATTGCGTGGCAAGATTGGTCTAAATGGTGCTACGGAAGAAGAGATTTCCACATGAAGTACAATAAATTTTGTATAGTACTACCAGTAAATTGCCATGCCCGATTTCCAGGGGGGGGCAAGTGCCCCCCCCTTGCCCCTGGGAGCGGACGCCCATGCTGGCCACCTGTAAAATTCTGAATGAGCATATGACTGAAGAGGAAATTTCATTCCACTTGAAATGCCTCAACGCCCGCCTGACATCACAAGTTGTCAAAGTTCACGCCACCAAGCCAAGAGATATCCGCCCATCCAACAGGCAATTGAAGATAATCTTCAAAGCGATTCCACCTGATATGGTGCGTTATACAATTGGCAATTTTACCCAACAGTGTCTGTCTTCAACATGTTGAACAACGACTAGAGGGGATATTGTACATAATTCATAGTTGTTCGCTAGCTACCTTGAAGTGTAACCTCTCAAATAATGCACTGCTCATACTTTTGTGCGTTAAAGATGTCCTCGTATTCTATTTGAAAGTTGGAGCATCCTTATGAAACACCCAGTATACATCATATCATTCATTATCCGTTAATTGGTAATTATCGTCTTGAATAAATCGATATAGATAAGATAGACAATAAGTTGTGTATATTTTTTTGACTCAACGAATTGATATCCATCAAATGATAACTATCAATCGGACCCAAAAATAGTACTCTTTTATTTTTTAAATCAAAAGATTGCTGAACGAACCATTCTTCGCGCTTCCTCGAGAAATCCCATCTTGCCTCTGCCTCTGTCTTCCCCATTTTCTTTGTTTGACCTTTTCATCTTTTTGACGAGCGGGACCAAGATAGTTAATTAAGTTCGATTTCGAGTACCCTGCTGAACGGAAATACCATAAATTCCCATGAGAGGGAAATGGATTTATTGGCCCATTCCTCTAGCACCTGGTCACAGGAAATGCAGGCGAGGACTCTACTGGGTCTTAGGGGAGAGAGTTTCCAGGAGGAGTTGCTTATATCTCTGGAGGAATGTTTCTTCCATGGCAAGGGTGAGATTAAGGTAATCGTCATCGTGCTGTGGCATGTCCTTTCTCAAACGCCTCCATGCCGCATAGTCCTCCGCCGTGCTCCGGACCCTCGAACTCGCGCTCGATTCACTCCTGGTACCTGCAATTGCAAAAAACGAAACGTGTTTTCACTAGCCGTGCCTATGAATTCGAGTGACGAAATGTGTTCCTACGCCCTCTCTCTGCAACAGCAACGGCTGAAACGTACTCCAGTCTCTTTCCCAGGAGCTGCAATCCAGGAGTTAAAGTGGTCGTATGTGAGTGGCGGGATGGTCTCCATCCACCAATGGGCAGAGGCAGGGAGAGAAAGGGGGGAGGGGCGGAAGTTCATGGGATTATCTTCCGTGGCCACCTACCATCTATTTTGAGACATTTTTCAGTGGTAATATCTCTCATATGCTAAAGCTTGAAAGTTCTTCAAAATGATGGAATGATGGAAATGTGCGAAAATAGTTCTTGCGTGGGACTTCCTTTAAGCTGATACAAGATCTGGCAGTGAACATAGCATCAACAGATGGGTTGTCTTATTTAGGGTAATTCATGGAATGAAAACACTCGAAAAGAACATAGCTTAAATGCTGTGTGCTCCAAGTTGAGAGTAATTTGGTAGTCCCATGCACACTTAAAAAGCAAATAAACACATTTCCCTCAGTAAGAGAGTTGGATTTCTTCCAAGACAAAATCTTGTATGAAGTCAAGTGAATAAAGAAATTTCTGAAAAATCTATGCTTCCAGATGTAAGATTCATCCTGTATTCTAGCTTGCCATTCAGGCAAAAACTATTCAATTCTGGTCAGCTTAAGAAAACACTATTAGCTACTGTAGAGAATGAGGTAGAGGTAGAGAGAGAGGGGGGGGGAGTAGAGTAGGTGGACCAATGATAACAATTCACAGAAAATGATTTGAAAAGGAAGAGTAACATGGGTGCATGGTACAATGACATATAGGGTGCACTAATTCTGACAATTGACATAATAAATAAAGTGATGCTATTCACCAACCCTTAATACCAAACTTGAATGTACTACAAGGTCTATCCAGTCATCATTCTCAGTGTTCCTGCACTCTATACAGTGTATGTAAATATCACATGGATTGAAAGTACCATATTTACATATTATGTTTATCATCTGTCAGAATAACAATCCTTTCACAGTTACACAACAGCATTTTCATTGACATATGATGCAGTGAATTTTATCCTTTCACGCTCAAAAGTCTACCAGCTTCATCAAAGCAATGCAAGCAAACTGGTGATTTGTTTACTCCGTATCAGCTACATCTCTTGGTGCAGCAGGTTAAAGAAAGGTAATTTTGAGGTTTTTAAAAATTTGAAGAATAAGTCAGAATTTCTTTTCCTCTGCCATTTCCTTTTCTGGGTTTTTTGAAAGATGGATTATGGAAAGTAGTATTGAAATTTATAGATTGAAAATCAGGATTAGATCGCTAGCAGAACTGATGAATTTGCATGATTTTATTTTACTTTTTCATTTTAAAAGTAAATTCAACCTATATATAGTGAAACTGGGAAATTAAATATGTACATGTTCCCAAAGCTTTGTTGAATCCCAAAACTAAATTGAATATTTTTGCCATACCTATAACATAATTTGAGCATGAAAGGGTTACAGGAAAACAATACCTGGAGTAGAAGCAAGGAGGTTGAGGGCTTGGAGAAAGGAGCGTTCAATGGAATCTTGACTTGTTCCACTCCCCATCTGCATTTCTACCAAGTTCCTCACCACTTCCTCAAGGCTCCCTCTATGCTGACCCACCACTTGCTGCACCAGCCCAGGATCTAATCCCATTCCTGCAAGCTGCATCACAATCATCAAAATTAGAGATAAAATTAATAGAGACATATAACAAGTGAAAAAAGTCTAAATATAAACTTTACAATGCCTGTTTTTCTAGTTTTACCTATGACTGATAAATTTATCAATTGAAAAGCTGAAAGGCAAAGTAGTCAATCTGTAAAAGATTCTTTCACCAGAGCTCCACATAGTCACTGGGATATTCACTCTTTCTGTCTTGTTAAAAGTGAAAAAATATATTTATCAATATAATCAGTTCAAGATTATTATATTTATCAATATAATATTATATTTATCAAATATTATATTTATCAAATATTATATTTATCAATATAATCAATTATCAATATAATCAAGATCAGTTCTTTTACATAATTCCAAAAAACTATAATTATCTATGAAAGGGACAAGATTCTATGAACTGGTGCTCATGAAACCTTGTTCCTTTCAATCAACCATACTTTTTTTCGGAAATATTTTGCTGATAGACCACTTCACCTTATAGTCTTTCAATTCTCAATTACATTATGATTCAAATGTGACCAGCAAGCACAAACAAGGATGATAATTTTAGAATAGAAAGAACATTGCAAAGTAAACAGAAATGAACCATAGTATCCATTTGGACTGCAGTTCTCTGTACTGTTACTCTGTAGTTCTCCAGGAGCAACAGAGGATTAGGGTTATTTTAAAGCATAGCCTCAATACTGGCACTTGTAATTCACACTCATCTCTAAGTGTGTAAATATATGCCATAGATTTGGACAAGAAATTGAGAGAAGTCTAAGAATAAACAGTATTCATGTCAGGTGAGATCAAAGTGCTATTTTTGGATGTCAGGAGTGATCTATGCTGAACTTCATTCTTTATAAACAAGCATGTGTGATTGCCATTTTTGATAAGTAATCAAGAATATTTTACAATTTATTATATATACAAAACCTACAAAAGTATTAAATACTAATGTATGAAACCTCACTGCACCACAAATAAGGAAAATTGTGATTTGCTGCAACAGACATATTGCTGTGTATATGTCCATGCCTATCTATGTAAGTGAAAAATATGTAGAACTTTCCAACAGACTGAAAAGTTTGAAAGTTCCTACATGTGCACCTAAATGCGACATGAAGCTAAAGCCCACCTTCCTCTTATTATGAAGAATTCACTTTGTGCCACTCCTGCATCAAGAACAATAATAACAATGAGGGGGCAGTGCTCTGCTCTACAAAGATTCCCTGCTCTTGCAAATATTGAATAGCACTCTCCTCCATGGTATTAATAACATTAAACTCATGATTCAACATATTGAATGCCTGGGTGGTTCTGGGACCAAGCCAGTAAATTAGCTACACCAAATTCAGCTAAACTTGGGATACTTTGTTTGCCATGGAGGCAGATTTGCTGAGCCACACCACACACCAAACTCACAGCTTTATACATATGCTTGCAGTGAAAGGCAAAAGGGCTTCAAATGATACTGAAAAGGTGAAAGGCAAGGCAAAGGGTGGGAAAATGATGAATCAAGGCGCAAGACCACATATGACACACCATGCAGTAAGCTGTAGATACACAGCTGCATGTAAATCACACCTGACACCAATACCGAATCAAGCCTTAAAATGTAAGATAAGGGAACTTTTCTTTACTATCACTAGCTCCATTACTGCCCAAATGCATTAAGGCATTGAATGTGCTAATCAGCATCCTTCCCCCTCACCTCCTATCCTGTCCACAATCTTGGACTCTTCTGCATATCTCTTCACATTGACCATGTTGATGATCTCAGGTTCTTCCAGATCTCTAGGTTCCAGCAAATTCAGTAAACAGTTCTTAATTCTATGCCAACATACCATGTCAAGTTTATCATCTGCTCTGAGCATATGTCACCTTTTCCAGTTCTCTATTTCTTTTCTCCCTTCTACCCTGTCTGCACCAATTTTTTCAAGGAACTAAACAGAAGAGTTGCACCTTTTGGGTCAGCTATGGGGAAACAAAGCAACATGCAAGCTTGCTTGCCCTCTCTAATCTGATGGTCAGGAATCCTCTTTTGTCCCTAAATGGAAAAACTATCAAAAAGTAATATATACATGATCCTATTCCCCCTTTATTATGTAAACTCACTGGATCACTAAGGGCTTTTTCATAAATTTAAAAATGTTCCATCTTTAAAAAATTGAGAACCACAGCAACCAACAGTTCTCAAATTTTCAATTTTTTTTTTGCAGTGAAGACAGAGGGAACAGCAGCTGCACTTCATAACCTCAATGGGGAAGAAAACTTCATGCCTCAATGGAGGCATGGAGTTTTTTTTTCATCTCCAAATAACTAGGATGCATAGTCGACTTGAAAATTAATGTATGTGCTGTGCTGGCTTCCCTTTATCTACAATTTAAAAAAAATCTCACCTGAGCAATCCTATCTGCAGAGAAGAGATGTGAGAGGTCTTCACGGTCCTCCTGTGAATCAGTCAAGTCAAGAAGCTCTGGACTTTCCATTAACACATTCAGGGCTGCATTCATATTATTGTTGGAGTGCCGTAGAGCGGCTGCAGCTAGTTTCTCCTGGTACCCCATATTTTTCAGCCCTTCATACAGCTCCAAATTCACCCATTCCCCATTTGCCGTCTTGCCTAAACGCTTCTGGAAATCAAAATGCAGAAAGCGATTGTTGGGTGAAACAACTAATGCAAATACAGTGGTACCTCGCATAACAAACGCAATTCGTTCCAGCGGTATGTTCGTTATGTGAGGTGTTTCTTTATGCGAAACACGATTTCCCATAGACTTCTATGGGAAATCATGTAATCCGTTTCACATCGCCGCGAAAAATCAAGGAAATTAGGAAAAAATGTTTCACTTTCACTCGTGAACACCTCGCATAACGAACGCACCGCTGGAATGAATTGCGTTCGTTATGCGAGGTACCACTGTACAAGGTAATAGTCACATGTACACAACAATATAAAACAAGGAACCAAAATGCATCTGAGTGATGGTGTGTTTAATACATATTTTTAATCAGGACTGGGGAATGTAATAAGGACAGAATTAATTAACAAAAAAATGCAAAATTATGGAATAATATTAAGAATTTTTTTTTACAGAAGATGGGAGGTGGTGAACACAAACAACAATGTAATTATTGTAATACGAAGGAAGGAAGAGGGTGTGGTTTGGCAGTCACAACATCCAATATGACAGTGTCTCAGACAGGGACACTCATGGGTTATCTAGGTCCATGACTAGAACTTCCTAGGATTGAGTTACTCAGGGCTGCCTGAAGCAGTTTTACCATAGACTTCACTGTGAAGCTTCTTGACAAAACTCATATTTTGAGTACCTTTGGTAACATTTTGTCTGAGGCATAACAATAATAGGCATGTCATCAAAAAAGACAGATGCCTTTCTTTCATAAGGTAAATTTTCTTCGTGGCTACAACAGCATTTACCAAACCATTTCTCAGAAGAGCAAGCAAAATTTAGACACTAAATGTTTACTATTCCTTCAAAATCTTAATTTTACCCAAAACAGAAAAGTAAAAAAAATCAGCAATGTCTCTGAAATTTCTATTAAATTACTTTGAAAATGACTACCCTTTGTAAAATTCATTTAATGAAAATTTCCAATTTGCCATGATTTTCTGGTAATAAAAAAATTAATCATGGTCATTCACTTAGTATAACCCATGGACTGCTGAGCCTATCTTTATTCCCACAGTCTTTTTCCTGAAAAAAAACTTTCATTAGCATTTTATCTACACTGCCAAGGATAAACCTGGTAAATTTAGGAAGCCACAATACAAATTACCAAAGTGTGAAAACAATGAGTATTCCTTCTTTGGTCTAGCAGCAGTATCCCAGCAAGCAACTACACTGAAGTTGTACATTGGGTGTGAGCCAAGAGGAGGTATATCCAAAAAGAGACCCTCCAGAAAGGGAAATTTAATTTGTTTTCATGAAACTGGTTCCTGACAGTATAATTTATTCTAGTGAAATGGAATAGAAAGAGTTTTAATGGAACAAGAAAGTTATACTACGTATGATGTAAGATGTAATACTTATTTCAAGTTACATAGCAAACAGGTAAAAACTGGGGCACTATTTTGAACCACCCTGTATATATATTTAGACAATTTTCACTTACTGACTGAGTGAGTGAGTAACTGATGCTTATTCTAACCATGTTCTAAATAAGGTAAGAACCTGAAACTTAAATACACAAGTTGCCAAATTCAAGAAAAATTCTAAACTTGACATCCCTTCAGGGCACATATTTTTTGGGAGGACATATATTCATACATTTTTTGATGCAATGAAATGGAGACACAGAAAGCTGAAGACTTGGTACATAGGTACCTGCTGAAATGCAAATTTCATGAAATGTCACTATTTTAGAATGCAGTCCCAGGGAGCAAACTTTCTTTGGGGAGACAATTTCCAAGGAATAGTTTGGTTCCAGTGAAAAAGGTAGATATAAAAAACAGAAATTATGAAAACATTTAAATGGGGAAAAATGCAATACATTCTTTCACTCCAGTGAATTGAGCAGTTTTAGAAAACTGAAAAACAATGCAGAAATACCTGTTGGGCTGATCATTTAAAGAAACATTCTACTTTTGGGGTACATCCCCTGGGGGCATATTTTTTGCCAGTCTGTTTTTCCAATGTTTTTTTTTCATTACAGTGAAACTGGCAAATATAAAAATGTGAAATTTGGTAAATGTAGTTTCAGAATGTTGACTTCAGAGAAAATACATTGGTGAATGGCACCCTTGAGACCCTTCTTGGGGTGGGGAAATGGGTAACCTAACATTTTTTGCTGAAGGAAAACAATTCTTACAGTTGTGTCATAAGAGTCACTGGATGGAGGAAAAATTCCAAGGGACCTTTGCCCAGAGGGCAAACAAACTTGCCATATATTCATGCATGCATGCCACCACATATGACCATACCTCATAGCCAAATGTATTTCAATTTATGTACAATATGATATTTTTATGCAAGTCACCAACATTCTCTACTTCCTTCTGAGCCCAAAGTCTTATATAAGGGGTGTACCTAGTCAATATCATCCTCAAAACATGTTGAAATTTTCATTAGAATAATGTTGAACAAGCGGAATGGTATGGGTGACATACAGGGTGACCCCAAAAAAAGGAAGCTTCTATATGAATATAATGCATATTAGTGGCACCTATGATATGAAAGCATTGTTATGATGTAGGAGGTACTTATTAAGAATCACCTTGCTAATTGGGTCAGACGGATGAACTTGCACGCATGTCTTGAAGTAAGGGTTATAAAAGACCGCGCGAGCGAGAAGAGGAGGGAGTGCAGAGAGAGGGAGAGAGAGTAGAGCAGGGTAGTCAGATCGAGAGCGATGTAGAGTGAGTGATTGTGTGTAGGAGTGTGTGTCAAGGTAGTAGTTGGATCGAGAGCCATGTAGTCAGAACACAGTGGTTGTTCCACCATGAAGGTGGAACAACAATAGTAACAACCCCCATTGGGAGTAACGAGCCAGCTTTTAAGTAACAGTGTTGTTTTGTCCCCGTCTCAATTACACAGGTATTGTCTTTCCTATATATATATTGTGTAAGAAGCTGACCAATCAGCCTCTATGTATATCCCCGACATCCTTCTAGAACGGTAACTTAGTGGATCTCCCCCAATACTGGTTGTCATAATAAATTCAGTAATTATTAAGAAGGAGTCAACGGAGTCATTCTAACCTCGAACACGCTGGTGTTCTGTTAGTGATTAATAGTAAACTACGATCACATCAGAGCCACCTACAATGAATGAAAGATGATTCTCTTTATTTCCAAAAAAACCTGATATTTTTTCTATTCTAGTCTATGGTGGCCTGGAATTGAGCATGCCACAGTCCAATTGTGCAATGCAAGAAGGCAAGGGGTATGGCCTTCCAACAATTGAATTTTTTTATTTAAATAATCAAAACTCTGGGTTTTGTTTTAGTTGATATTTTCTTACAGCATACTCAATACAATGTGATCAACAGGATCTGCATTGTTCATCATTTAGCTTCCTATTGGGGGGGGGAGGAGGGGGCCACCTTGTATGTATGGCTTCATGTAAGCAGAAGCCTGCTACATACCACATGCTCTCTCTACCCTTGACATTGCACATGGTCCTGAATGTGCTCAGGAAATGCAGGATAGAGGGAAAGGAAAAATAATTTGTGGGTATGCCTTTTTCTTCATTAGACTCCCAGAATGCAGCAAGAGATTGAGAATAATTTTTCAGCAAGAATAAGAAAAATAATGGGAGAAGTAAAAGGAAATTTTGCACAACATAACAAGGTTGAAACTATCCAAGAAGCTGTAATAGGCTAGAGAACAAAAGAATGAGGGGGAAAGGGAGACAGACTTGCTTGAGGAACTTTTGCCTGTCCTCTTCTTCCTTTCTTTTCCTCTCCTCTTTCTCATCCCGCTTCTGGAGCATATAGGAAACAGCCAGCTCGAGGTTGTTCCCCATTGCTCGTAACCCCAAACGACCCTCTGCTTCACTGAATCCTAATACCAGTGCAACAATATACATCTCATATAAATATTTCTAAAATAAAAACATCCAAAGCCTCTGCCTCCCATTAGTTAAGTAAATGAGCACCTCATTCATAAATATTCTTCAGGAGGCTAACTCATGGAGTTAGGAGTCAGGCTAACTCATGTAACTCATGGAACTTAGCTTCTCCTCAAGCATAGCTTCTTCCCAAGAGTTACATGCAAGAAAGCTGCTTTTTTTTCACACACAACTTTTGTTTACACAACACAATTTTTTTTAGTTTTTTCATATTTTTGAATAGTAAAGTATATATAGTCAATATCCTGAATCCTTGTGCATTTGGTTGACTCTCAAAGAGTCAAAGGATAATGAGGTTCATAAGATGAGTGTCACTGCCAATGATGACAAATGAGAACAATAATGTTCACGAAGGAGAATTTTTGTTTATAAATGCATGAGTTTATAGCCTGTCCTCACACCCCACTTTCCTTAAAATTTCATTTTTGCAGTCCTCCAGCATTTCAATGTCACTGCACAAGGATTCAGGATACAAACTATACAAATATATCAAATTAACCAATTAGCAGTGGGGATCAACTTTATGAGTATATCCTTATGAAGTTAGTAATAATGAATGCTCTCTAACATTTTCCACCCTACACTCTACACAATACAATCAACTATAATAAAGAATGGTTACATGTAGTGCTACAATAAAAATATTAAAAAATCATAGTATAGTATCATAGTATAGAGGCAAAATACATGGTTGAATTTCAAAACAAACAATTTTTAATGTCACAATACAAATATCCTTCTAGGCATATATCCCTAATAAACAATCTAAAGCCTAAAAACATAGCACCAGTGAAATCAATTCTGTTAGGAGACGCCCCATGTTTGAGGCTACATCCTTTTCTCACCAACATATCCAACACTTGGTTACCAGCTAATTTGGTCATACACACACAACCCCCTACTAAAACTCACATATACAGCATGTATGCTACCATTTACTCAGAAGTATAGACCTGATAGTAAATTTACTGTCAGTAATACATGTCCTTAAAACTCTTCCTGTCCTGGCTTTGCCAGGTGGCCTACTTCTAGAGGTAACCCCCTTTCAATACTTAGCTACTTCATAGTTTTTGAGAATTTTTGGACATCCATCTATCCCATCACTCAAATAGAAGAAAAGTTTAACTTTTACTTACACTTACACAAATAGCAGGAAGACAAAGGTTCTAGAAACTGCAAAAAAAAAATCAAGGTAGCAAATCAAAGAGACACTATGGGAAACCACCCAGTTGCTTTTCACTGGTGGTTCCTCATCCTTCTCCATTCAAGGCAAGATGATCTGTATGAAAACCTGGCTCTGACTACAACAGTGTATTTGCTGAAGACATTCTCCATCAAAAGGGACACCTAGTCTATTGTGTAACTAGTTTGGTAGGATGGTTAATAAGAAAAGAACTTAATAAGATGGATGTCAGCTGTGTGCAATATTTCACAATTATCAACTGTGTCTCCTCTGCAATTTATAGCACTAATTCTCAAAATCAAGGCTGCCCCTGTGCCACACTTGCATGGATTGTGGCAATTAAGAACCAGCTCCACTCACCAAATTCAATCATGTGAGAGAGTTTGCTGTCATCAACACGAAGCTGGTCCATCTCAGATTCAACCAGGGCAAAGAGTTGGTTTGCTAGCTGAAGCTTGTTTTGGTGGAATGCCACTATCCCCTGCAGTAGGTGTAGACGCAAGAACAGTGCTGCTTCATTCCCTGGCATCACAAATCCCATTCATAATATCAAGAATCACAGACTGGAATGGAATGTCTTTTGAAATAAAGAATACCTCTGCATCACTGAAAATAATGAGGTAGCATTCCTAATACAGCTGCATGAGAGACCAATTCTACAAAAAGATTAAATTATTGCAATTCCAATCATATTGATTGAAACAATTTCTCACTGCATACTCCCAGTGCAGTTCTTCAAAAGAGGTGAAATCCTACCCCATAACAGGTTCCATTCCAAGGTTCAGGAGCTGAGAACTCATGGAATTAGCCTTTCAGTCAACTGTCATAGTCAGATGTCATCAGTTATCCCCAGATGAGTCACGGCACATGTGCCTGACATTGAGGGAAGAATCAATACAAGACCCCCTTTTTACTATTTTCAAATCAATATAAATACTAGAGATGTACAAAAAGTTTCCAAGCTGAGGCACTTATGATTGTAATACACAAGGCTCCTGAAGTTGCTGGTGCTTGATCAATGTAGGCTAATTGGGATGCATGTATCAGATTCATGCATCAGGCTGATACATGCATCAAGTTGATGCATGGTAAGCATCCCAATTACCCTCATTAGATCAAAAATCCTATTAACTTGTTGAAAATGCCTTCATAGACTTCATCTTGGCACTGCCTCCCAGTTATACTCTCAATAATGGTCCTAAACAAAAGTTGCTTGAGAAGAAAAGGAAACTTGCCTTCAATGGCACCCCCCCTTACCCCACTCCTCAGGCACTTCCCAAGTTTTCCCTGAATTGTCTCAGCTCATGACCTTGAAACTTTGTTAGACTTTTCTACAGTATATATCTTTATATGCTTTCCTGCCACATTTCATTAACAAAATACTTCAAGGGGTTAGTATGACCCCAAAACTCCTATTGATATTGGAGTGTATGGCAAGTTTTATCTAAGATTATTAATGCCACACCTTTGAAACTCTTATTGATTTAATGGTATACTAATGCAAGCTTGTATAAAAAATTAAATCAAGATTGTCTCTCTCTTGGTCATGCTTCTATTTCTTTTGGAGATGAGTATTTTATAAACTCATCACTTGATGAAATCACTTGGGAAGGTGGGAAAACACTTTCCATGGAGTAAAAACAGGAAAAGAATAAGGTACCAACCAACATTGCCCTTGAGGGCAAGGACTCGCTCCATGTCCTTTCCATAACTGTGCTTGAGGGAATTCTCACACTTCTGCAAACGCTTCTCAGCATCAGGGAGATCAGAGATGCTTTGAAGACACAGATAGCACCATGAAATATCCAGGTTCAGTAATGCATAATTGTCCACTGCATCCAGCAGCTGTGATCGACAATGACTGTTGGGGAATTTGCAAAGGACAAGCATTTAGGATGATTGCTGAACTCAATATCTCATAATTAAAATTGCAGACACAGTAAAACCAGACAAGTATTCACCATATAAACAGTACAGTTCCATAGGCATTATCATGCATAAAGTGAAATATCTGAAGGTGTGAGGTAAAACAAAAAGTTCAGGCAAATGATAGAAATTGGAATGTACCTGTCATGGAAAAAATGATCAAATTAGGTTTCCTGCTGGCTAACTGCTCAGACTCAACTATTACATGAAGGAACTGGATCCCTGACCTGTACTCATTATCAGCTTCAAGAAAAAAGAGAAGGGCAGCGGCAAAATCATCTTTCTTCAGAGCAGTCCTTCCTTGCTCGTGCAGCATCATGGCAACCACAAGGGCTTGCTTCTCTTCAGGAGGCAACTTTATGGCTTTCCCAGCCTGATCTGTGATCTAACAAAATTCAACGATTTTTTCTCAGTTTCTCATTCACACAAAGACCAACATGACCTGTGACTACCTGAAAATAATAATCATCCTCCATTGCATTTTTATGAGACAAATGCTTGGCATCCTGCTTGATGCGGTCCACTTCCTTACGCTTCTCTTCTTCTTGTGCCTTTAAAAAAATACAAAGCCACATCTTTCTCTTTTCAATAATCCCAATATCCTGTCTCAATGTAGAAGATGATACAAGTCATACCATCACAGCAACGGTTTCTGCTTCTGTAAGAAGAAGGGCAAGGACCTGGGCTTCATGTCTAACACCTTGAGACTGCAGGGATGACTCATCTTCTATCACATTCCCTTTCACAATCAACTTCAATCTGAAACAGGGAAATTGGAATGAACAATCTAAACATCAGAGAAGCCTCCTCCAAGTTTGCCTTTAGTCCTTGCACTACTGAAACTTTCTGAAAATGGTAATGACTTCACTATGAAGCAAATCCTTGCTTCCCGGTGAAATAATATGATGAATAGGTACTGAGTATTTGAGGTGCAAAGATATTCAACTTTGGCCAATATGCAACATATGATCAGGGTTCCATTGGTGCCAATACTGACACCAGTTTTATGCTGAAGGAGTTTAAAGATCCTGCACCAAGAAAAAGATAGGGAAAAAAGGGTAAAGTGGAGCATTTCTGATAGGTTCAAAGTGTATTTTTACATCCTTATTTCCTCTTAAACATCCAACAGGGTCACATCCCAAAGACTTCTGAGCATTTAAAGTCAAGTTTTACTTTTCAAATCATGCATATCAGCATGCCTCCATCTGTTACTCTGATCCAATATATATAGATATATATATCAATACATATATATAGAAAGAAAGATATATATATATGCAAAGGGTATCCCTTCGGGATAACTTCATCAGGACAACCCAGGTGCTGGAAGCGATAGCCAACAACGACAGACACCTAGGCTAATTATATTTGTGAGAAAATCACGCCGATCAAGCCAAACCTACAGCCAGCATGAGTCCGAACTATTGAGAGAAAATAGAAGAGAATACTAAAAAAGCGAAGGATAGCTAAGGAAGCCTAATGGACTAGCAAGTCGTAGGAGTCTCGTCAGGGCCACAATCCTACTAAACAACTTGCAGTGTAGTAAAACCCTTTTCGACATCTCCACACCAGGGAATGATCATTAGGGAATTAAGGAAGGAAGGAAACCCTTCGGGCACGACTCTCCACACCAGGGGAAACCTCTTACTGCCAGACAGTGGTCCTACAGATAGTGACTTGAGCATCGTCATGTCTACATGCACAGAACACTCTGCACTAGGCTTCTCTAGGAACCAAAGGTGTGAACCTCATCCAGCTAATGGACTGTGCAGGAGTGGTGCATGTAGGACGGACTTAAGCTGTGGAAGCACTACACTGCAAGTTACTACACTGCAAGTTGTTTGGTAGGATCGTGCCCCTGACGAGACTCCTACAACTTGCTAGTCCATTAGGCTTCCTTAGCTATCCTTCGCTTTTTTAGTATTCTCTTCTATTTTCTCTCAATAGTTCGGACTTGTGTTGGCTGTAGGTTTGGCTTGATCGGCGTGATTTTCTCACAAATATGTATATATATCTTTCTTTCTTTCTTTCTTTCTTTTAGAAAAAAGCATCATCACAAGGCTGGTATTGCTAATTGTCCCAAAGCAAAGAAAGAAAAGTATTTCCTTTTAAATTCTGGAGAGCTGAAGTTAAGAACACAACATCTGGGAGAGAGTTCCATGTGGATCCAGCCCTGTGAAGGAAGGTGTGCCTTGTGTATGCCTGTTTTGGATCACCCAATTCTAGGAAGAGTAGATATGCTTAGACTGATACCTATGCCAGAGAGAAAAGGTTTTTAGAGGAGGAAGAAGAGAAGAAAAGAAGAGTGTCTTGATGGAGTAGGAGAAGATGAATCCTAATACTGTTCAGGTTATTGGTGTCAAATATCTTGAGAAACCCTGCCTGTACTCCATTGAAAAGGGCAAGGTGGATGGATGAGGCACCCACCCCCCAAGTGGAAAGGCATACTCCATGATTGGACATGCTGTGGTTTAAATCTAGTCAGGTAACTGCAATGAAAAGGGATGCTTCATAATACAGGGTGGCCCATTAAAGTATTTGCAGTTTTGCTTGGCTATAGCTTGTGTACATTTTTTATCAATTTCAATAATATTTTAACACAAAGTAATGCTGACCTTAAAATTTTATTTAGTCAATGTTCATTGAAATCTGCCATGACGTTTTTGAGAAATTCAATTTTTTATTGTGACTTGGATGTTGTGCATTTGTGCATGTCACTGGTGCTGTTTATTGTCAGTTTGAAATTTGAAATTTGTTCATTTTTAGATGTCATTTTTGGTGAGAGAATGGGCAAAGGTTACTGCTCAACACAAATGGACAAAAAGTCCAGTGATTGCTCAGCAAAAGTTTCATGCAGAATATGTGATTCACTGAACATGCCCTGGCTCACCAGACTTGATGCCTAGTGACTTTTTCAGTTGGAGTTTTGTAAAGTCAAAGGTATACACCACTCAACTGGCAGACATTCCAGAATGGAAGTGGCATATTTTGCTTTTGGTGAAATCACTATTGAAATGAGGCAAAAAAAAAGGTGGAGTACTGTGAGCATCTTGAGCACATTATTGTAAACAGTGGTTTACAGATTGAAGTGCATAACTCATGAACAGCATTTCCAAATATTGTTAAAATTGGCCAAATAAAATTCTAAGGTCAGCACTACTTTGTGTTAAAATAAAATTGAAATTCGTATTTTAAAAAATTAAACAAGCTATAACCAAACAAAACTGTAAATATTTAAATGGACCACCCTGTAGATGAGTGTACAAAGGGCATAGACAGCAAACTTGGCAATGTTTTGAATATAAGGATCTGTTTGAATGGGTTCAGGTTCAGGTCCCTTTGGAGCAAGGCCATCACCTCCTCAGGAATATGCAGATGAAGGATTGCATGGATAATGGTATCTTTTGCTAACAGTGGACCCTCTCCAGAGTAGAAGTGATGTCATTAATAAATAACAGGAAAAGGGTCAGGCCATGGACACTGCTAGTGGAACGCCAGAATGGATTGCTGAGGATATCAATGTATAACCATCTAAAACAATAGATTTGCTTTCAAGCAGACAGAAAACCAAATAAGAAAGTGGTCCTGTATGACATAGCCCTGTAGTCTGTGCAGGAGCTCTGTGTCAGTTTGTGAAAAGCTTTGGAGATGTCTAAAGATAGGAGGAAACCACACAATGAAATGAAATGGTTGAAACAAAAGAATGGCATGGGAACCTTGGAAGAGGAAATTCAGATTCAATTTGTGTAAAACCAATTTTAACTGCAAAATGAGGGAGAGGACTATCATATCGCAGGCAGTGCATGGATATGAAATGTTGATTGAGAAATTTAGCTTTATAATCAGACTGAGTGAAAAGGGAACCATTTGCATGCAGGATTGGAATAGACAGATTTCTCCCTTGCAGGCTTAGTTTCATCAGCGGCCACCACTCTTCGGGAAAGGTCAAGACAAGTTTTTTCTGCAGATTGACAATGTATTGCGTTAAATAAAACATAATGGGTGTCTCAGAAATAATGACATTCTCAGTATTCATTAAATATCTGTTATTTGAAGTCCCTCAGACTTCTTTTTTTTATAAATAGATTCTCTGGACAATTCTCTACAAGTCCAAATCAGTTTATTTTTGTGTGTAACCACCATCATTCTACACAACAGCTCACAAACAGACATCCAAGACAGACACAGGTTAGGAAAACCCTTGTGAACCTGCAAATGAGGTTCATGGGAATGGAGACACATGGGCGGTAGGGACTAGTCCAGCCCACTTAGTCCGCTTGCATATCCTTCCCAGGAAATTCTGATTTGCCACATCAGGTTTGCAGGAAAAAAAAAAATTTTCCTACACTGGACAGACAAGATTCCCACACAACATCCTTTGGAATTCACTTTACAGACACTTTCAGTTCTTGAATTAATGTTATAATGCACTGAATAACTGGGTATGGGCAGTCAATCATTTTGAAGCCAATCGAAAAGGTGGCAAGAAGCAGAAACAAGTTTCCACAAAAGATGATGGTCTGGTTGGGAGTATGTTCAAAAGGGCTAATTCCTCTGGTCATTCTCGAGAAGTGCACTGTCAACAAAGAGAGGTACATGGCTGAAGTACTTCCTGTGGCTCTCAAATATGGGAATAAAGTGTTTGAAGACAATTGGATCTTTCAGCAGGATGGTGTGACTTGTCACACTCACCATTTGATGCAAAAGTGGAGTGAAGACAATTTCCCTCCCTTTCTCAACAAACACCATTGGCCCTCGAACTCTCCCAATTCGAATCCATTGGACTACTGCATTTGGAATGAGCTTGTGCAGGCCATCAAGTGAGACCATGTGAGCAGCAAAGAGAGAGACTCTAATTCAAGAACTGAAAGCGGCTGCAAAGCAAAATCCGAAGGAAGTAGTGTGAGAATCTTCGTCTTGGATGTCTTATTTGCGAGCTGTTGTAGAGAATGACAGTGGCTACATACAAAAATAAAATGCAATGGGATTGAAGAGAATTGTTCAGAGAAACTATAGTAAAATAATCAAGACAGGAGCTTGAAATAACAGATATTCAATAAATACTGAGAGTGCCATTATTTCTGAGACACCTGTTAATTTATAATTATTTTCTTATTCAAACAGCAAGCCAATTATTTTTTGGATCTTTGCACATTTGGTAGGAATTATAAATGGTGCCACAAATGGATTAGGTCTATACATATATAAACAAGGGTTTGTCCATGTCACTGAACAGTTGAACAAAAGAGATCTTTAGTAAGGAGAGAATGAAATCTGTTTTTTTGTTTTTGTTTTTTTAACTTCCACAGTTTGGTTGAGTGGCATCTGTCACCTTTGAAACCAGAACATATAATAAGCAGAAGACCAATTAAAACATTAATTCAACTACATATATAACAGTGGAAGACAAGATTCAAATTTTGATACACTCCAACAGGTAATCATCAAAATACAGTCACTTTCTGGCTCTGGACCGCTTATTGCAGTCATACTCTACACTACACTCATATGACTATATGGGTTTAGAAGGGGCTCACCTGGATGCATCAACAGAGAAGTTGGTAGAGATCAAGTTCCTCAATTCCCTTCCATTGATATCCAAGTTTGTCTTGAGGGTCTGAAGCCTGGAATCCTGAGCACCATATGCAATATTGATGCGTAATGTTGCTAGTCCAGACTTGTGGAACTCTTCTCTTGCTCTCAATTTCTCTAGTGCATGACACTGGAGGTGCTGAAGTGATTCATACACTTTCTCTAGAGATATCTCCAACTCAGCTGCATACCTCCTAGTCAGCTCCTGTTCCGATATGGCAAAACTCTCATTTAATCCAGGTCTCTCTTCATGTGGTAAACCATTCATCATCTTTCCACAGACAGATGAGAGTAAGCACAAGGATTTACATAATATCAGGTAAGCCTGCCATCAGATTAGGAGGCCTAGCAAACCTTTACCACTTATTTCTTTCCTGTCCAGATCTCAATATTTTTCTGCTCATGACAGAGGGAGTTTTATGATTCCAAAAGTCAGTTTTTGATAGTGATATGATAACAACCATATGATTATCATTACAATGATTATTATCATCATATTTATTATGATCATATTAATGATAATAATGACCAGTTTGGGCATTTCTCAGTCTATTACTTTCTCCCTCTAAAAAGGTTTCTAGTGTTACCCTGTAACATGGCCTTCAAGGCTGAGGAAATTGATAACCCTAAAAAATCTTGAATGGCCTAGCATGTTACCAATACCAGCAATAATACACACAATATCCTTGCTTATGTATACTAGACACAACGTTCCAAGTAGTTGCTCACCTGCATCATTGGGTCATTGGATTGATGTTGTTCAGAGTCAAAGTATGGAGCAACCCAAAGATTGATCTGATCACGATTTAAACAACCTCTGATGCGTCTAGCAATGCTGTCATCGACTAGACTTCTATTCCTCTCTGGAATGCTCATGGCTGACAAACAGCTTCTTGTGGTGCAGCAGTTCACCAAGTATAGCTGATGGTGCACACTGAGTGGGCTTTGATGCTATTTCTTCAAATCAACTGAACAAGAAGAAATGGCTAGCTGGGCTTACCTAGAACAGTTTTATGCAATTTAATCAGATATGGTCGTATGGTCCTTTCGAGATAGGCCCTTCCTTTTACAGTATCCTGACTTAACTAATCACGTGAGTCGCCCTACTTGGCCATTAAGTTAAAAGTTCGACAGAAGCAACCTGGGCCTACTTTGGTGAAGCTGGCAGATGTTAAAGTGGTCTCAATCGTATTTCTTCATACACGGAGATGCTTCCACGGTTAGGCCTTGGCTTGAATCTAAGCCAATCAGAAATAACTGGAAACAAGCAATGATGATGCCAATAAAGATAACCTGCCTGAAAAAGCACACGAACACATTAACAAATCTTAATTTTTTTAAGATTTTCACTTTCAACGAAATCATATGAAAATTTTGAGCCAGGCTGACAGGCGTAATGAACCAGTCCTGATTATAGGCCTAGGAGGCCTCAGATCACATCCTACCTTGCCTGAACTTAACGTTAGACTTTAAAAACAAAGAAGAAAATGTGGACGGTGCAAGTCATATCCTTCCGATTTTTTCAATCATGGAATTTTTACCTTCTTAGGTTGCTCAGCTGTTAATAGATAGCTATACCTTGGATTAATGCGCTATTGTTTCCAATTATTTTCATCAATACAATCCAACGCAGATAGTTTGGAGGGGAGGGGGTCCCACTCTGCAGAAGGGTGACAAGAGTTTTTCACTGGGTTCAGTTTTTCACATAAAGCGGACACTCATGCACGGGACGTTCCTCATACGTACTTGTCTGCGTCAAGTGAAAAATTGTCTGACTCAAGTGAAAAACGCAGTAGCAGGCAATGTCATTCTGATCCATTTACTTCGCCAGACGAGAAATAAATACTAAAGCGACGGCGGGGGAAGGGGGGGGGGGGGATATGAGAAATGAAAGGAGAGAGTAGTTTAATGAGGAACACTAGAGTGAAACCCGATGAGACGTAGGTGAGACGTCGATGACGCCGGTGACACATCAGCATTGAGTAAGCGTAGAGGAAACGTAGATACGGTCAGCCCTCGATATAAAGCAGCTGTTGGTCGCAGTGGTGTAAGGGAGGCTGGAGGAGAGCTGACCCCCCACCCCCCATACTCAGATCTAAATATATACCTAAAACAGTGGCGTATTTTACGGGGGGGCAGAGGGGGCAGCCGTCCCCCCTGGCACCAGTGGCGTAACTAGGTAATTTGCCACCCGGGGCGAGTGACTGTTACTGCCGCCCCCATACTCCAGCTCCCCCCCCCCCTTGCTAATTGTTATTTTCACATGCACACACGTTTTACTGGATAATGAGATTTATTAAATATTTATGTTATTCAGGACTGATTCTCAGCACAAATAATG